TTGGGCAGCACGGAGCCGCGGCGCCGAGAAGCAAAACAGCCTCCGGCGCGCCGCCAGCGGTCTCTACCAGGGCGTCAGCGGCCTCTTCGGCGAGGACAACGTGCGGGCCCTGCAGAAGGTGAGGCGCCGGCCGCTTCCCCCCAGCCCCCAAACCCTTCGCTTCCTTTCCCTTCGCGCCCTCTCCCCGCGCCGTTGCTCCCGGGGGTGACCAGGCGGTTCTGTGAGGCAGAGCCCCCCCACCCCCAGCGCGGTGCTCGGCGCTGGACCCGCGGCGGCCTCGTCTCCTCTGCGAGCCCGGCCGCGGGGGAGGCGGCGGAACGCCTGGAGCGTTGCTTTGGGAAGAAAAACGGGAGGCGAGGCTTGACGTGGAGCAAACTGCAAAAAATATTAATAAAAGAAATCTCTAAATAAAGATTATTTTAGGTGGGGGAGGCGGCCAGGGCGGACCGCTGTCGGTGAGGAGCCCTCCAACTGAAATACGGTCTGTCTGCATCAGTAGAGCATCCTGCGTCTGCGGGGCCACATAGGAACTTGCAGGAAATAAGACATGCAGGCAGACGGACCTGTACATTCCTCTGTTCCTTCTCTTCTCAGCCAGCAGGAGGAAATAATACTGTTATGTTGACCTGTAAATGCATTTGAGACATTTGGGTGTGATGCTGGGGACACCTCTCAGTTGCTTGATAAAACTAATTCTCTGGTTTGCTTTAGCAATGTCCACTGCTAGTAACAGTGTTTTCTTTAAACTTCAGAGCAATGGTAAAGCTAATAAAGTGCTTTTTTAAATCCTGTCAACACACATGTTTACATGCCAAAAAACCTCGAAGAAGGGCAATTGTAATAAGTAAATTTATGATTCGCAGGGTTAAAAAACATTTACAGAGTTACATTTTTTTTCCTTGGGGACTTCAAAATAGCCTGCAATTCTTGTTTAATGAATTATAACTCTACTCATGACTAGTAAATCTCAAAGTGTGTTTAAGGAATTGAGGTTTTTTGGGTTTTTTTTTAATTTTCAATTTTATTTCTCAGTTTTTCTCAAGGTTGACAGAGAGGTTTGTGAATGGGGTGGATATATTAATGGACACATTCTGGAGAATATGGACTGATTTGTTAGATGTTCTTGGAATTGATGGTAAGTGTGATGCCTGTTAACTCTTGAACTGTATCAGCCTGTATTGATGTTCACAAGCATAGGCCGAGTGGGAAAATAGTTACATTTTATCACACTGCATTAAACATCCATCAGTGGTATCTCTGTCCACTTCACATGGCTTTGATTTTGCTACTAGTATCTTCAAACAAGAGGACTCAAACCAGCCATTCCGTTTCTGTATATGTATCTACAGGATGTCTATAAAACAGATTACAAGTCATGGTTGGTTTCTTGCTGTCATCATGAAATGGATGCACATGGCCAGGAACGGTGCAGGGAAATAAAGGAGGAAATAAAGGCGGACTAGAAGAAGGAAAGGTGCAATTGAGAGCCTTTAGAATATGACTTTTAAAAGCAGGAACTTTAGCCTCAGTATGAACGTCGACCTTAGGCCCCGCAGTAGTTTGTCCTTAAAGAACCTTCAGCACCTCTACTTCAAAGGAATTAATTCGATCGCATCATTGGAGCCGAGCCAGTGATTTGAAAAAGGTCCATCCAGAAATGGATGAGCTGGCTTTGCCCCTTACTTTAAAAGACACAGCCGTGACCCCACTGCGTGACCCTTTGAAGCTGTGCTTGCACTTTTACCCTTCCCACTTTGGCATGCGCTCGTTAATACTCTGTAAATTCTCCTTTGTTTTTCAGCCTCCAACTTGACTCATTATTTCAGCCCAGCGGCAATTGCCAACAACCCGACCCGAGCTCTTCTGCTGATTGGTGCCATTTTACTTGCCTATTGGTTTTTATCTCTTTTCCTTGGATTCTTCTTCTATCTCCTGCACATGCTGTTTGGTCGCTTTTTCTGGATTGCGAGGGTTGCCCTTTTCACTCTCTCGTGTGTGTACATCCTCCAGAAGTATGAAGGTGACCCAGAACACGCAGTCCTGCCCCTCTGCTTTGTCGTAGCGGTCTACTTCATGACGGGGCCGGTTGGATTTTACTGGAGAAGAAACAGCAACAGCAGCCTTGAGGAGAAGATGGACCACCTGGATAGTCAGATCAGACTTCTGAACATACGTCTTTCCAGGGTGATTGAAAACCTGGACAGAGGCAGCGACCAATGAACCAGCCCCTACAGACCACTGTACACCAGCTCTAGAAAATTCCTAAGCACTGTCTCATTCGAAGTTACAAAGCAACAAAACATCACATGGTAAAAAGTGCGCAAAGTTATAACTTTTCATCATGTGTAAGACTAATTTATCTAGATTATACACTCAGCCATTATTGAAATTTACACCCCCAGCCATAATACTTGAAGGAAAAAAAAAAAACATTTAAAAATTTCAGCTGTATATTCAGAGAGTTTTATCCAGCACTAGAATTTTCTCAGTAGATAAACGCTTACTTTTACAAGCATTTAAAAACATCTTTTATAAAGTTTTTATAAAAGCGAATTGAGTAGTCTTTCAAATATTGAAATTGAGCTAAACATATGCAAATTTGACACTTAAAAAGTTAAAAAGAAAAAAAAAATCTCACGCTACCGAACACTTCCATTGAGAAGTAACTGCTGTGGGTCCGCATTTTTTTTTTTCAAAGTTGCGAATGTTTTTGTTTTATTGTTGGCTTATTTCATTGCCTTGAAGTTGCCTTTCATAGAGTATCAGATGAGGAATTTTCTGGTATCCAGGCCAAAAAATTCACATCATAGCTTTTAATAGGAGGTGGGGAATAAGGGAGAAGGAAGATTTCATAAATTTGAAGTCCTTAAATGCCAGTCCAAGATGAGGAATTGAGAAGCGCACGTGTGGCGTTATTTCATTGCATTTCATCTCGAGAACTTTAATTTGGTGTTTGAAAGGAAATCTGTTTTACTAAATTGACGCAAAGGGAAGAGATGTAGCGTGGCAAATTGTAATTCATATTTGATCTTCACAGTGACGCATTTTCCAAGCATAAATGCGTAGAATAAAACATGATTTTTAATCTCAGGACCCACGTACTTTCTCAAAAAAGGCAGCAGTTGAAACACTTGCAAATGTATTGTTGCTTAAAGCTTTCTCAGGACCAATAAGCGGCAATAAATTATCTTCAGGAAGATCTGGATTTTTTTCTAAAATTGTGATAGTTTTGTAGGAGCTTTTTGCTTGAAGTCTGTGTCCTCACTATATTGGGTTTTGGGGAAGGTGAGTCACCTTACGAGGAGGGTGTATTAAACAGTCGTACTTCAAAGTGATGTAGGAGCTTTGAAGCAATTTTATTTTGAAGGATTCTACGTATTTGTAACCTTAGAATTAACTAGCTTGGTAGACTATCACTGGCTTTGTAAGGTTTGCTGAAATGCATCGAAACAAAGGTAACCTCAGGGAAGAAAGTCCGATGCGTGGTTTAACTTGGTAACTATAGCATTCAAGGATATAAATGGGGGGAGGGAGGGCAAGCATCGAAACCATAGTGGTGAGCACAGTATCAATACCACGAGAGGCGAGGTGGGCCGCAGCTGAAGAGCTGCACGCTCCCTAATACCTAAACGAACAACTAAAGAAAAGAAGGGAACAAAAATCGGTCTGTGGTAGGGACTGGCTAAAAAAGAAGGGAAGCAAATGGGAGTGGATGATCCGCGTGCCGTTGCTTCGCCTGCGCGTGCCGGCTCCGGCGGGACTGGCCGGGGGCAGCTGAGCACAGCTTGGCGCTTGGTCTTCGGCTTCCCGTTTCCTTGGGTAGAGCTTTTGTTGGATGTGACGCTTGACTGAATGTAACTGTGGGGTGAATTTATTTTTCTCTTTACACTGAAGTTTAACACTCTTCTTAAAATGCGTGTTACTTGCCTAACCTCTTTTGGTCTGTATGTGACATTTATGTGAGGGATTATTTTAAAATCCATGTTAATGGCCTTTACTCCAAACTGTGATCACTTAAGTTCAACACGGTTGAAGTTCATATGCAGTTGGCACTGTTGTAACGCGTTTTATTTTTTTACGTCATCTGTAAATCCCCCCGCACCCCATTTTTTCAAGAAATCCACATTTAGAGTTGCAAAGTAACTGCTTTTCATGACTTAAAGTCTTTCCCATGAAGAGATAAGTACTATGGCAACAAATAGCCTGCTTTGTAAAGCTGAAAATGTAAATTGCCGTATATTCATTTTCACGGCTCGTTTTCCATAGTATCAGAGTCTTCCCTATAAACGCGGTTTTCCCTACTGTTGTGCACAGGGGACCGGGCTAAAACACCAGCCTGGCAACTGGGAACTGATTAGCGAAAGCTTGTCGGGGCTTCATGCGTTCTGCTAAATGGGAGGCCTGAGGACCCAAGTCTGCAAACCTTGCTCGTGTGCGCGGCTCCGTTGACTTCAGTAGGACTATGTGCATGAGTCAGTTTTGCATAGATTGTATTTTATGTAATCCGTATTTAATGTTGAAGTGCAAAATACTGAATCATTTATATATTAAGAGTTGTCTATGATAAAGGTTTCTTTTAAAATACTATATAAAAGTTAATTTGGATTATAGTTTCTCCCTGTCTCTCTCTAATCATTTATCTTAGTTTTGTAAAATCAGCCCTCCGATAGTAATACTCTTAATTTTGATCACCCTGCTGCTTGAAAAAAAAGTATTTTTATATTTACTTGCATCCCATGTATAGCAAAATGTTAATTTTTTAAGAGCGGTATATATAAAATTGGATATTTTTAATCAGTATTTTTTCCCAGCGCTCAGTTTTCACATTAGACAAGTTCAGAACTAATGATTTTTTTTTAAAGCACAATCTAATCTTCGATATATATACTTTAAAAATGCTGTGTATTTTTAAACATGCACTGTAGTGGAAGCGCTTTTGGGACATGAACGTGGTATTGTATTTAATCTCTTTCAACTTTTGTAAATACCTTTTACAAATATTTTCCGTACCGAGTCATCTAGTTCATCCATCGAGGTTTTTGCTCCGGTTTTTAGAACTCGTTCCAGTGACAGTGGTTGCACTGCTTTTGTATTGCCATTGGTAGGGGCGTCCCGCACCAATTCGCAGGGATGGGCAGGTGCCGCCTGTGCCCCCGCGGGTAAACCGAGACACCGAATTTGAGAGACTCGCCCGAGTCGGTGGCAGAAACGGGAATGAAACCCAGCTCCCGCGGCTCCCAGCCCTCTGCCCTAACCACCAGACGGCTTAACCGAGGGCGGGTGGCAGCGTCTGCGCACTCCTCGAAGAGTCCGCTTCCCTCGGCGTCTGCCGACCCGCTGCGAGCTGCCCGTGAAGTGGCACGGGCTCGGTGGGGCGTGGGAGCTCACCCCCTCCGCCCCCTCCTCCGAAGGCTGCTCCTCCGGAACGGCTCCCGCTTATTGACCTTCCCGCCTGCAGCGGCCCCGCAAAAGAACGTCGCCCCGCGTAACCGGCTGACGTCTCCGTTCGGCACAGGCTTCAGACTGTCCGGTACCAGAAATTCCGGTAGGGTCTTAAGCGTTTTCAGCTTCATACTTTAAGACCTAATATTTGAAACTACCGTGGTATTTTCACTACGTTCACGTCTTCGCGGGACTAACGTCGGCAGCAATTTCTTTGAAGGTACACGCCTCGCCTCTAGATAACCGATCCGTCGTATTGGGAACGTAACGCTTCTAAAAGCGGTGCTGGGTGTCGGAGAACAATGTATGAAATCTGGTGTAATTCAGTGCTGTACCTAATAGCGCGTCCTTCAAACCGTGATTTGCTTTTCCAGGCTTGTCGCATAGTTAGTGTGGAAAATAGACCAGTATCAGCCGTAGCTCTTCGATGGTGTAGAAGTTTTTAAGTGTGATTTGCCTCACGTACTGATCTGTATTTGGCAGCTAATGACGTAAATGACTGTAAGTTCTCTTTGTCTGGGCTGGAAAATAAAAGGTTTTCTTGTATCCGCATGTATTTTAAACTTTTGGATAATTCCATCGAACTGTGATGACAGCACATTTGAAAATTGATCTTTTCCTTTTAGTGAGAAGCTCTGTTTGCCGTGGTGGCACTCGTTATCGGCTCCGGTGTTGGTGATTTCACGTCCCGTTTTGTACATCGCATTTCCAGATTGCAGTGGTTGTGTTTATGTAAAAAGTAACTCGGTCTGAAGAGATGATGTGTGTATACTTTCCACATATGATCCATAGGGGAATACTAGATCCCACTGATAGTATCGTTAAGTAGTTACAAATGTATCAGACTTATTTTTTACAGAGCTATACATGCCTTTATTTATTACTTCTCTGACCACCGAATCGATGTACTATGTAGTTAAATATTTGTAGACCGATTTCACAAATCAACTATGGTGTTGTGACAAAGCTTAAAATAAATGTTTACTGGAACTTTGCACTGAGAAGTGACTCGCAGTCAAGACTGGGCTTTGTCGGACGTCTCCCCCCGGGCGGGGCGGTTTGCAGCCCGGCCTGTTGCCACGCCGGGGCTTTGAGGGATCCGACTCGCTTGTGAAACACCCGGGAGCGGGCCGGGAGCCGACGGGGGAGCGACCCGG